TTCAATTATGAAAGATAGAACTTAGTTTATAGTATTAACTACTTTAATCATAGTTGCTCATTCAATATTCTCTGACTATATTAGAGATGATTTATTATCTTTCTCAGCTCTAGTAATCACTCTGACTATTGAGATAACTTTGATTATAAAATCAATCTTATCAAAATTGTAAATATTTTTTAATATAATTTCTTACTTTTTTATTATATAATTTATTAATATATATTACTTATATAAAATCTTTAAATTCTCACACTGAGCTCATTAATAGTTATATTTATATGAGAAATTTATTTTTAGTTCAGAATACTATTGTATAAATCTATTAACTTGATATTTTTTTACAATAATAGAAGTATTGAATCTATACTCTTTAAATAGTAGATTAGTTATTTTTTATACAGTTATAATTTAAAATAATTATTTTCTTTTATTTATAAAAATTATTCAATGAACTAAAAATTTTTTTTTTATAGAGATCAATTATTAATTTTTTAGTTAAGTATTTATATATATGATTTAATCATATAGTCTATAGATTAGAGAAAAATAAAAAATATTATATAATTTAAAAGTAACTTTAATAGTTATAATTTACTGAACTTTATAAGTTTTAATAATTAATAAAAGTCTGACTTTTTAATTAAAAATTTTTTTAATAAAAATAATTATCATTCTGAATTTTTTAATAAAGTATAAATAATTTAAATAAAAATATTTTAGTAGATAATATAACTTGATAGATAATTGATTACATTAATTAACTAGTTAATTGATGATTAATTATATAAATATATAGTTCATAGCTTATTATAAAAAGTTTATAAAAATATTATTACTCTTTTTCTTTTTTTTTCTTTCTTTTTTAATAAATTATTTTATATTTAATAATATTTAATAATACTTTATATTTTTAGAAATCTGAATCTAGTTTATTATAAAATATTTTATTTTAATATGGTATTAAAAATAAAAATTATATTTAATTTATTGAAATTAAGTATTTTTTATTTAATTTTTTTTTAATTTTATTATTAAATAAATAATTAATTAATATATAATTTGAATTTTTAATTAAATTATAGAAATTATATCTATCAAATTTTAAAATTTTTTTTAAATTTTTTATATAATTTATATAGCTATATTCAAGTTGTAATTATATTATAAAAGAAAATATTTTTTAAGTAAATAAAAAAATTAATTTTATTAATATTACTTTATATAAAAATAAATATATATATAAAATAATTTTTTTTCTTTTTATAGTTAAGTTTATTATAATTAATAATTTTAATAACTTTTATAAAAATTAAATTTTGAGATTTAAAACTAGTTATTTTTTTAAAAATATAGTAAAATTAATAGTTTATATTTTTTTAATTAAATTTTTTTATCTTATTTTAAGATAAAAATAAAAAATTATTTTATTTTTTATTAAAATTTAATTTATCTCATTAATTTTAATTTAAAATATTATTTTTTTATCTTTAAAATATAAAAAATAAATTAAAATTGAAGATTTATAATTTTTTCAATTTTTATATTTAATTATAATATAAAAATATATTTTTTTAACTTTATAATTAAATAAATATATTTATTTATATTTTAATTTTCTTTATATATATATTAAAGTTATAAAATATTCTTATTTTTAATATTTTTATATTAAATATAAGTTTTAATTATAAATATTAAATAAATATATTTAAATAATTTTAGTAATTAATCAAATACAAAAGAAATAAAATTCTTATTTATTTAGAAAAATTATTTATAATAATAACTAAATTAATTAGTATTATTTTTAGTTTAATAAAAAAAATTTATTTTTTTATTTTTTCTTTATTATTTAAAATATTATAATTAATAATTTTTTATATTTTTTATATAATCTCTATTTATAGTTTTTTTTTAAAAAAAGATTTTTAATTTTTTTATTTTAAATAAGAAAGTTAGAAAAAAATTGATATAATATAATAATAATTATAAAATTTTTTATAAAAAAATATTAATAATAAAAATTATCTTATTTATTATTATTATTATTATTATTATTAAAAGTTACTAATTTAATTTTTTTTAATTAAAAAAAATTAAACTTTAGTATAGATTTATTTTTTCTTTATTTTATAGATTTAAAATAAAATATTATTTTTTTTATCAATTTAGTTTTTTATTTTAGTATTTTTCTTTCTTCTACTTTTAAATATTTTTTAAAATATAGTTTTGTATAACACTATTTACAAAAAAATAATATTATAATTAATTATTATTTGTATAAAAGAAGATTTTATAGACTTTATAGCTAAATTTTTTATTATTTTTTATTATTTTTAAATATAAAATTTCTCGCTATATTAATTAAAATAAAATTAATATAAATTATATTTATTTAAATTATTAATAATTACTTTAAATTTAATAATTTTATAAATCTACTTTAAAACAAATATTTTGAATAAAATTTATAGATTATATTAAAACAGCTTCTCTACTATGACTTAATTAGATTTAGTTAAAGATTTAGTTAAATTTAACTTTATTTTAACTGAATTCTGTTAAACTTGTTAAAAAGTAAACGTTCGGACGGTGAGTACACGGCTGCACCCGGCCCTCGCCCGCCTCGCCCCTGGTCGCCCCTCCCGGAACGGGCCTGGCCTGGCCTGACCTCGCCGAGCCCGCCCATTGGCCATGTCGGTGCTGCCGTCGCCCCTTCGGGTTTGGCGCCGCTCGACCTCGCCGCCCTGAGTTACATCATCGTGGACCTCCCGAAAATCTATATAAGATCGCTCCTGTGCCCTTTTCGCCCACGCACCTCCATCTTCCCGATTTTCCTCCTCGCCTCGCTCTTTCGCCTTCTCCCCCCCCACTGACCTGACCCTTAACTCTCAGCCCGCCACTTCACGGAGACATCTGCCGATCTCTCCTGCCGAACCTCCTCGCTGTCGCACGCGCCCCGTGTTCCCCCTTCTCCCCCGTCCATATCTGCCGGTCCATCCCTCCACTTCTGCCCATCTTCTTGCAAGATGATGTGAATCTGAAGATAACATTCTGCCCATCTCTTTCTCCCAGGCGCAATGTGCTTTGCTCGCTGATTATTTTACTTGCTGGCCCTTCTCCCTTCTCCTCGTTCCTGTTCCCCGGTTCCCCTCTCCTCGCAGTCGCTATACCTGCTTACCATTCGAACTCCTACGATATGTCTGCCTCTTCTCTTTCCGTCCAACCTGCTGCCGTCGACCAATGGCAAAAATCCCTGACGTCGGCGAAATCCGAGGCTGCGTGGATTCGACATGGGCGTAGCGAGATCACGCGGAATTGAGCCGGACGCCAGGATGTAACGTTGGAAGGGGTGGCTGCGAGCGACGATACCTACTCGTTACGCTGTTGACCAATGGCAAAAATCCCCCACGGCGGCAAAACCCGAGATTGCGTGGATGCGGCTGGGCGCTGGTAGTGCATGAGAGGCATGGGTGTGAAATACCCCCTCCCTTGATCACCCCGGGCTGACTTCGATGGTGCCACCAGCAGTTTTGGGGTGTCGGTCGATATCCTTGCCTTCCAAGCGTGGTATTCCACCTTCACAATGTATGCCACACACGATTTTATTTGTTGGAGGAAGCCGTCGGAGCCATTTCCAGCTGAGAGGGGCGGAGGGGGCCAGCGACCGTGTGAGGATGGCGAGACGGGGTGGGTCTGTCGCATAGCCCAAGGATTCCGAGCCACCGCATGTGACTGTTTTACCCAGGTTCATTCGTCATCGATCGTGCGATCTCATGAACGGTATGCGCTTCGCCTCACGGATACGGTGCATCTAATTGCCCGCCTTGTTTCTGGAGCGGCGACCCCTGGCGAATTTCCCGTGATCCCTAGCTCTGGACCAGTCGATGGTGCTCTCTGTTGCATTTCATGTGTTACACCGGGATCAGTTCGCGCCTTGCAGGCAGTTTTTAGGTTGGAGCGAAGCGGCGAGGCGTTTTCGAAAGATGCGGCGGTCTATCCACGATGCAACGGGAGCCTAGCAGCCATTTGGCGCTCCGTCGAAGGATGAGCTTTCCCGTCTGCCCCCTATAAAACCGACCGCTTTCCCTCCCAAAAACACACTGACCGCAGGACGAGAAATCACAACTTCCCCAAACCTCAATCCCACCAAGAAGCGCACGCACACAGGCACAGAGCAAGCATAATTGCAGCCCACCATGGATAATATTCATTTCTATCACCCAATCTCCGCAAAATCATCCCTCCCCAATGCCCCCGCACAGAGACCCATTCTTACCGCCCACGGAACCTCTTCCCTATCCTATCCCTCGCAGCAACTCACGCACCCACTGCCCTCTCGCCCCTCCCCCTCTGTTACACTCCCACTCCTTCTCAGTCTGCACGTCAACGTTCCCGGTCACCCGAAATCCCACGAAATGATTTCGACAGGTTTTTAGAGGAGATCAGCATGATTTCATCTAGCGACGGCAGTGAACCTCCCAACGGGAAACAGATCAACCTCGACGACCATTCTACCAGGTGCACGGGGTCAGAACTTAACGATTCTTTCGATGACCGCCTTGGAATACCCATCAAAGCGGATACGGCCGAAGCGAGCACCCCTGAAGCTTGTCAGTCGGGTGGAAGTAGAGGTTAGTTTTTCGACTTCTTCCCAGGGTTTTCTGCCGACTCCGCTGACGGGTTGTTCCAGATGACCCCATCGTCATAGATGATCCGATGGGGTTTCATCCCGTTGATGGACCTGCAAAAGAGTCGGTAGATGCGCTGGTGCCTCCGCCGTTTTCACCCATCGATGAGGCATCCGTTGATGAAGGTGACGAGCCAGATCAGTCGGTGGATGGCAGTACCGCATCAACTCCGCGAGAAATTTCAGGTAAGGCTCGTTCCACTACCATCCCAGTTTCCCACTGACCCGCGGCAGAAACCCCGCCGCTTACCACGGGCGAATCGGCCTCTTCTCGCGATACCCATACCCGTGTCTCTCCAAACGCACAGGGTCGACCTCCTTCAACCCCGGTTAAGCACGGCGGTGTGACCAGGGAAGAGTGGCCGGTCAAAAAGATACTGAACTTTCGGATCCGCGTGCGAGGGGGCAGGGGAATTCAGGAGTACCGCATCGCATGGAAGCCTACGTGGCAACCGCGGAGCGACCTGGTTCCAGGTTGCGAAGAGTTGATTGAAGAATTTCATGCAAAATGGAAGGACGAGCGGCTATCATTGACTTCTCTGGTGGGCTACAGGCAGAAACGGAGATCTTGTGAGGGTAGTAGACGCAAGGTTGTGAAGTCAAGCCATTAGTGTCTTCATTGGTGCTGGAGATTTTTCCTGTCAACAGTAGCTATTTGTAACAATTGGTTATCCATCCCTTTATACACGACCGAGATGGTGGCTTTATGTATTTGTGAATAGGTCCTTCACAGGAAATTTTTGTGAACTGGGTGAGAGTTGAACTGTCAGATTTCGATGCCAGATGAGGCCACCACGCCGCATTCAAATGATGTATTTACGCATTTTGCCAATGTATTCTCCACCACGACTTTCGGGTGGTTTTAGGTTTCTGTGCTCAAATCATTGTTGCCTCAAGTTGTAAAGCGGTTTAGTCATTTGTACGTATGAAGCCGAAGCCTAAGGGGACTATGAGAAATAAAACCGTGGTGTACTAAACAGTATGCATTGAGAAGGCTAATATAAACAATAACTATTCACCATAACAAAGCAATCACTAAACCTCTTCGGTTCCAATCAGAGCTATCGCATCATCATCATACGCCTTAATAGTAGGATCATATAGCCTTTTTGGGTCTTGCGGAGTTCCAACTATAAGTCCTTCCGCCCCATGAGGAAATAGTATGCGCCGTATGTTTCTGCGGAGTGGTTTGACCCAGTCAAACCATGGAGGAAATTCTTTCATCAGGATGCGCTCAAAGCCGCCAGCTTCCATGTTGCCTCGTTTATAAGTTGCGATTTCCTCGTAGTTGCCGGTGTACCATTTCCTGAGCATACTGAATTCGGGCCTTTCTTGAAGTTGACGAGATGTTCGTGGTGATATCTGGGGAAACCCGCGACGCGATGGCGGGGCAGTGAAGATTTGATTGATGGGGAGGGAAGTTTGGGTTGTGAGGCTGAACAGGTCACCCGCTGGAGAGAAAGGAGCCATGACTTTATAGCCGGCTCCGAGAAGGCCATACCTGGCCTTCAGTCGCAGGATGGGTGAAGGGTGAGTGAATGCTGGGAAAGCGAGGATGCAAGCAAGCGCCCGATCGCAAAGGGTGGGTGGATCCGTAACGCTGGGGCGTGGGAATTGAGGTTTCGGCGCGCAGGAAAATGAAAAATGAGGCCCACTGTGCGTGGCGCGTGGCAGTATTGGACAATCGCCGGCCTAAAAGCGGCCGTCGATCATTAGTAATCGACATCCGGCCTTCTACGCCCAGCCATTGAATCATAGATTGATCATAAATCTTTGAACTGGGCACTGAACAACCCGGTGAGTCCCTGGCCTCTACAATGCTTAACTTGCCAATTTCTGCGAGTACTGTGTTACAACCGGGGACTCCTGCAGTCGCTCATTGATTCATCAAACCCTCATCAGCAATCGCCATTCCATATATACATACACCCAAGATATCTATACCTTAGCTACGAGTTATTGGAAATGGAGAATTAGCCCCTCATGCGAACCGTCTCAGTTCTTCTCGTTGGCTGCACAATGTATACATGCATGCATACGCAGTAGTTAAACTCACTGAAGACGACTTGGTGCTTGAGCGCTCATCCTCCCCAAGTTCTGGCAGGCCCCTCTCATATACCAACTCTGCCCGTTGGAATTAAAGGGCGATGGATGAAAGAATGTATATCACACGGTTAACACGTCCAGATCTGATATTTGTTTGGTTGTATTTTTGGATTAGCAGTGTGTTCGGAGGAGATAGAAACCCCATGTTCCCGCTTGTGGAACGGGGCTCCAAGGCTGATGTGCTCGCAAATATGGATGCGAATATGAACAGGATACTTCTGCCACCACCATCCATATCACTCTCTAGGACGTGGCATGTCCTTGGTCCTTTCAGCATTGGCACGAGAGGTTAGTGTCTGTATTTTGAATTTTTTGGTTCCTTGTTCCGTCGAATCGCTGCTTTGGGGTGGGGGGTGGGAAGGGGGGCCCGGGCTGATATTAGGCTAGTTGGTTCCTTCATCAGGTCTATATCTTCATCGAAGAAGCAGAAGTACACTCAGGAATTTTGAAATTTTGAATTCCATTGCCTAACTAACCCCTTTCCGCAGAGGCAACTTGGGGCGCTGACCCCCTTGAGGTCTTGGGTGGATTTCGCAACATATCCTTTGCTCATGACCCAAACGCCACCTTCGCCAGCGCCCTGGGTCTCAATGGTACCGTTAATTGGTCTGTCTTGGAAGCATCAGAGCTCGTGATGAGCGATGACGGCTCCGCTAAAGCGACATTGGACCTCGGTTTCCCAGATGTTGACTGGGCGTTTCTCCAGTCTATTTATGGCTGGGCTGCGTTGCAATATCAGGCGTGGGCGAGAGGGAGTATCACCGTATTAGCATCTGGTGCTGATGGTGGGCGTAGCACTACCACGAATGTTGCTGCTGTTGCTGCTGCTACTACTACTACTACTGCTGCTGCTGCTGCTGCTGCTACTGTGGCTATATTTACCGACGGCCTGCTGGAAATTTGGATTGATGGAGAGCCGTATTTTGGCGGAGATTTCTATACATATCGCCGCGCGCCGATTTTGATGAATCTGGCAGCTGGGGAGCATGTCATTGACTTAAGGTTTGTGAGGGATGTCAGGGCGATGGGGGGTGTGGGGGAGCCGAGGGTGCGGGCTGATGTGGAAGTGAAGCAGCTGAGACATTTTGCTGAGGATGGTGAGGGTGCTGAAGATGGTGATGGTGAGGTGCAACTGGGTTTGGATGCAGGTAGCTTGCTGGTTGCTGAAGTTGTGGAGGGGAGACTTATTTCACCGTTTGCTTCTGTGATCGTGAGGAATTATCATCACAAGAGATGGGTGGAAGTTACCGATATACGGACTGTCGATGATGATGTGCGGTCCGCTGGTTCCGGTCCAACGTTATCCCTGCTACACAGCCCGCTCACACTGGCTCCATTCCAGTCGCGCCCTATGTCTTTCCGGATAGATTTCCGCGACCAATCCCCGTCAAACTTCTCCTTCCAATTCAGCTACAAATTCCGCTCCCCAGATGACGACGTGCGAATGCAAAAAACAAAGCGCCTGCCTACAACCCTGACACAGCGTACAATATCTGAAGCGCAAAAGTTCACCTTCCTTCACCCCGCTGCCATCGTATCCTACGCCATCCTCCTCCCCCCGCTAAATACCACATGCAACTCAGTCGGTAAACACAATCTCCCTGTTCTGCTCTCCCTTCACGGCGCAGGTCTCGAAGCCGCTGATGAACAGGTTCGACATATGCTTGACGCTTCGTATGGGGTGTGTGCGTGGATAGTGTTTCCGACTGGTGGAACGAGCTGGAGTGGTGATGATTGGCGTGCGTTATTTTTCTCCTCTTCTTTGTCCCCGTGGTAGTGAATGGCATTGGTGTGTGGTAGGTAGGAGAGGAGTTGCTAATGAAATTCACAGATACCTGGGGTTCGGCGGATGTGCATGCTGCGGTCGCTGCGATACCGGATTGGATGGAGGCGGTAGAGTGGGAGGGGCCTGGGGTGGCGTTGGAGGATTGGATTGTGTCGGGGCATTCGAATGGAGGTTTGTATTTGTACTGTACATGTATATGTTCTATGATCGTTGAGGGCATCGGGTTGATATATATTGGGCTTTTGCTAGGCCAGGGGACATGGTTTCTCCTCACGCATCAATCTGACAAAATTATCGCCGCCGCACCTGTTTCGGGATATTCCTCGATTGAAAGTATGTAGCCTCCTAAACACATATCCATTCCCACCTTATCCGCGGAACAAATAACACCAACTCAAATCACCAGACTACGTCCCATACACAATGTGGCACCCCAGCGACTTAGCTCTAACCCATCTCCTGCGAACATCCCTCCAATCCTTCAAACACGAACTCCTAATCCCCAACCTCGCCGGGACCCCCATCCTCCAACAACACGGATCCGCCGACGATAACGTCCCAGCCTACCATTCCCGCCTCCTCCACCAACTCATCCAGGAAAATAATTGGCAATCCAAGTACCACGAGCTCCCCGATGCAGGTCACTGGTTCACCGGTGTCCTCACGACGCCGCCACTGATAGATTTCTACTCACACCATGCCAGTCGGCGATCGTATGATGACCTGCTCCCGAAGGAATTTTCCTTTGTTGTTCCGAGTTCAGGGGATATGGGATCGCGGGGTGGTATTGCTGTTGACCAATTAAGTTCTCCAGATAGGTATGGGCATATCCGAGTAACGCGGGAAGGCAACAGGGGTGGACTATGGCATCTGAAGACCCGTAATGTGCACCGATTCCATCTCCTCCCGGGGCGAATGCGGGTAGTGTCACGACCAGTGGAGATCAGAATAGATGACCCTTCGACTGTATTTACGGTCCCGGGTGTCCACGATGGTAATGCGACCTGGTTTGTCAAAGATGAGATCAGCGGTTCTTGGACGATGTCTTCGGATGGGTCCTGGCGCGATGATCTCTCCCAGCGCTACGGTCGGCAGAATGGAGCTATGGATGCGATATTACGCACGAGAGGACGGTTTCTGATAAGAATCTGCGCAAGCGGGGGGAAGGGGAGTGGGGAGTTGGAGAAAGTGGCGGTACAGATTAGTCGAAATCTACTACAGTATTTCGCCGCGGATGCCGAAATCCTACCAGCCACCAACTGCGCCAATACCAGTACCAGTACCAACGAAGCCGAATCAAATCACAGCACCGGAAACCTAATAACCCTCGCCCTGGCAGACGCCTTCCCGCCTTCCTCCATCCCCACATTCCCAATCTCCATCTCAAAAACCCACATAACGATCCAACCCTCACGTCCCGAACCGACCAAACTCCCCATCGAACCCAATCTCGGCGCCATATTCCTCCGCCCCCTCCCCCGTCAACGCCTCGAATTGGTAATCTGGGGCGCTGACGTGCCAGGGCTGCGGCAGGCGAGTCGTCTTGTGCCGCTGCTGACTGGAGTCGGGCAGCCGGATTTTGTCGTTTTGGGGGAGCGGGGGAGGTGGATGGGGGCTGCGGGGGCGGTTTCGGGGGGGTTTTTGGATCGGCGGTGGAGGAGGGTTGGAGGGGTGGGGTGATTTGGATTTGGTCTTACAATTTATTTATTTATTTTTTTTTTTTATTTTTTTTGGTGGGTTGGAGAGGGGAGGTAGCTGTTTGGTTTTCAAGCTCCCAGGCCCTGGTCACTGGTCACTGGTCTCTGGCCTCCTCAGTGTTAATCGACATGCCTCTGATACATGGCTCAGAGATCTCAACCCCACCAGGCTCACTTTCCAATTTCCTTTTTTTTTTTTTTTTTTTTTTTTTTTTTTTTTTTTTTGGTTCGTTTTCTTTGATACCCGCCGCTGTCTGACAACGCAGAGCATAAAAGAACTTCTATGGAGGGATATCCACCTTTCTCTCTCATTACATTGTGTTTCTGGCTTTCTTTTGTTTTTCGGCTTCTCCCTCTAGGTTTGCTTCGGTACGTTGGGCCTTTTTATTTTTATTTTTATTTTTATTTTATTTTCTCGGATGAACTCTGCTATTCCCTTGACAGATATAGGTGTTCTTCACAGTCTCTTCTGGGTGGTCAGCTTCGTTTGCACCGGCCACCGCTGATATGAATACTCTCGATGGATCGTAGGTTGATCTAATTCTCAATACCTTCGCGAGTTTTCTTAATCCCCTTCCCTTTTTGACTGGATAAAAGAGGTGGTGCTCGACATAGGCTCTCTCGCCTTCTGCCTTTCTTCCTTAATCCCCCTGAGCTGTGGTGTCTGTTTTGTTGTGGAATATCGTGCGGCCTGTTGGACCATACCACCTCTTCTTATTTACACCTATCGAGCAGTAAAAGCAAATATCTGTTTCTCTCTGCCATCTATCCATATACAGAACAGAACTCTTGGTTCGTTCATCTTCATGGCGCTGTTCCCGACCAGTGATCGTCTCTATCCAGTCCTTTCTCTGGTTCAGGGGTATGGGAGTTGGGACGCAGAGAAGAGATGAAGCAATATCTAATCTAGCATTCAGTCCGAATATCCCCTCTCCTCCTTTCTCTAATATCCCATTATCACCACGCTCTTATTCATCCTGTCATGCTGTCTTCCTGCAGTGCAGTTCCTCACCACTGTCCACTTTCTTCTGTCAGGTCAAAGCCCTAATCTCTCAAAAGGGGTTAAACCTTCCTCGCACAGTGAGGGCCCCCCTCCCCTTCCTCTCTCTCTCTCCCCCCCTTAGGAGAGAGGGGGAAGAA